GTTCCATCTCTAGAACATTAATTATCCCACAGCACTGCCTGGCATTTATTAATTTCAGCTATTAGAATGGAGACAAGAGAGAGGTTTAGTTACTAAGATACCTGATGCCTCGTCTCTCTCCTGGCCTCATTACGTGGGTGCACAGATCTCTGGGAAGATTTGGAATGTAATTACACCACCTTTATTTGAAATGTAAGCTCCCCTTAAGCAGTATCTAAATCTTTGTCATAAATAAGCCATTAGTTTTCTAGATAAGCCCAAATGTTTTCTAGAATCTATACTGGTAGAATCAGCTGTTTGACCCATATGCTTTTTAATATTCATATAAATGTGTATGTGTGGATATGTATTTATATGTGTACACGTGAAAGAGACACAGATTGAAAGAAGAGGAAAGAGCAAGGGTGAGTGAGACCCAGAGAGAGAGGGAGACAGAACTCTTGTCTATGGTCCTGGATGCTCTGGGTGAGACTGAGGACCACCCTTTTCCCAAAATCATTCTTTTGTTTGTTTTCAGCCCCATTGTTGAAATAGAATGGGGTATTTTTCTGTTAGTGGAGGGAAGAGGGAAGAAGAAAATGCCTTTTGCATTTATTTTATTTTGTCTTGATTTTATTTGTGCAGAAATCATAGAAGAGAGATGAGAAACGTGAAGATAATAGAGGCCACAGTCTGACATCCAACAGCTGCCCCACGTCTCAAAATGGGAATGAGGTTAAATCGAGTTGGCACCCAGTTAAAGGGGCAATGCCACCACAAAGAAAAAGGATCTTCTCAAGATACAATTGGATTCTGACTGTTAGCTATGGACATGCAGCATGTTACAGCTCTTCCTGGGGACACCCCCTGCCACTGCTCTGGCTCTGTCTTCAGGCTAACCCAGCCACTCTGCTCCCAGGAAAAAAGGTGCCACCCAAGACACACAGACTCAGATCCGTGAGAAGTTTTCCCTTAGAAGTGGAGTGGACAAAGTTCCCAATAGCTTCCGTATGGCAAATAAAATTATGCATTTTACTGGCTTTTTCTTAATATGGTCTTTAATGTATGCAAAAACACAGATCTTAGAAGCCACTCTATGGGCATGAAAATAATTCCATATAAACACTTAGCTCCACAATGATAGGATTTAAACAAGGATAAACCTAAGGGCCCAGAAAATCTGTCACCGTCTCTGTCTCTATATCCAAAAGCAGTCTGAACATCAAACTCAAAGTTAAAAAGTAAGAACAGGTCTGGCTGACTGGTTTGCTTTTAGTCCTTCTAAGAAGTGTGCAGTGGTATTGCGTTGTGGTTCTAATGACTAATGATGTTGAGCATCTTTTCTTTACCATCCTCATATTTCCTTCAGTGAAGGATCAGTTCAGATGTTTTGCACACTATCTCCTTGGATGATTTGCTTTCTTACTGTTGATTTTTTAGAGTTCTTTAGAGTTCCTTTGTCAATCACGTGATTTCCAAATATTTTCTCTTGGTCCGTGGCCTGTCTTTTCATTCTCTTAAACACCTTAAATTATTTTAAACTTTTAAAATTGAAGAGTTGCATATATACAGAAAATTACATGATTCATAATTGTGCCACTCAATGCATTACCATGAGGCAATCACACCCATTCCCCAGATTAGGAATAGAGCTGTACCAGCGCACCAATTGTCCCCATGCGCCCTCTCAGGCCAGTAGCTTCTTTCTTCTTCCCTTAGGTAACCACCAGGCTGCCTGCTGAGACCATACTCTAACTTTGCCTCTTTTCGAACTTTATACACATTTTGTGTCAGTCTGGTGTCTGAGAGCTGCCCAACGGTTCACGTACAGAAACAATGGAAACCAGTGCCAGGTTTGCCTCGTGATAATTCCCTTGTGCTTCTCCACTCATTCTCCTCCCTCTTCTGCTCCCAAGTTGCAGAGGACCCAACAGAGGACCTGGAGGCCTTGGGGGAAGGTCTGGGCCCCTGAATCACAGGGAGGAAGAGCACCAACCCAATAACCACAGTGGGGGACTCCGCAGGGGAGAAGTGAATCTATTGTGTTAAACCCGAGAGGTGGGAGTTGTGCATTACATCACTGCGCCTCCACTGGTAACACAAACATTCTGGATTGTAATCATACTATATTATTGGGGGTTTATATTTGTAAATTTTTTAATGCTTCTTCCTGACATTTTTTTATTAAGGATAGCATATACATGTTCTGTGTTTCTTGTCTAATTTTGTCAATTTTTATTTTCAAATGAAAACTGTAAATCAGTTAGAGACTGAAAAATTTTAAAAAAAGAAAATATGACTATTGATGTAGCTCAAAATGAAGCATTATTTCAAGCTGTAGGAGCGCCATCAGCTCTCTAGCCATTGGGCAGGTTATCTTTCGTGCTCCACCCTCTCCTGGCCGCTGCCTCACCTGGTGGTCTAGCAGCTGCTTGTCTGCATTGCCCTGTGCATCTCTTGTCTTCTGCCCTGGGTTTCTCCGCTACTACACGAGCTAGCCTGCAATATGATGAGACACAATGTGGAGCAGAGATGAGCCGTCCAGACAAGGCCACTGTAGACCATCAGGCCCCCACTGACCCAGCAGCTGACCACAGATGCACGAGCGTGCCCCAGAAAGATCAAAAGAATCCTTCAAGGAACCTCAGCCAAAATCACTAATCCACAGAATCATGAGTTAAATACACAGTTCTCTTCAGTCACTACATTTTGGGTTGGCTTGTTATGCAAGAAATAATATCTGATACACAAGTGCATTCTTTTCAATCTCCATCAATAAAAGGGATCAAAATTCATTCTCATCTAAGATGGGCAGCTCTAACTATGCATAATCACCCTTTTATCCCAGGCTAGGCTAACACTACCATTTTTTCAACCATGTTGAATGGTTGCTGAATCTTATTTTTCGACATATTTTCAGATGATTACATACGTTTTCTCATTTAATTAGTTGATGTGAAAAATAGCATTTTTAATGTTAAAACATTCTACAGTTCCTGGAACAAGTCCTAACTAATCATAATGATTAATTTTATATGCATTTCTAGATTCAATTTACTAATATTTTATTCAGGATTTTTGCCTCTTTGTTTATACATGAAATTGGCCCATATTTTCTTATTTTATTCTTATTATTAAGATTATAGCAATACCTTATAGAATGAGTTTGGTAATGCTCTCTATTTTTTCTTTATATTGTGTATGTAATAGAAGGATTATATATCCTCTGAATTGTATGAACTTTTCTGTGAAACTTCTCTTTTTATTCCCAGTGTGCAAAGACTTTTATGAAGATGAGTATGTATGAGACGCTAACTTTTCATCTAGCATCTAGCATAAGAGATACTCTTATTATATTACTCCTTTAATCTGTTGTTTAATAGTTATATTTTTAAATTTTGATTGTTAAACCGAACTTGAATTCCTGCCATGAACTTAATTTGGTCGAGAGGCTTTATACTTTTTCTTTTTAACTTGCCAACTTCAGTTTGTTAATATTTTCCTTAGGATTTGGGTATTGATTTACATAAAAGAGATTGACCTGTGGTTTTATTTCTAACACTGTCTCTTTTGGTTTAGCATCAGTATTCTAAAAGCCTTCTTTTGTACTTCCTGCATGATATAACAGAAACTCATTTACTTATTTGCAACATACCATTGATATTGGCCCTGGAACCCTTATTTTGTAGAGCACCTCACAGATTTCAGGAGTACAGACGTTGCTGACACTGGTAAGAAGAGCTGTTGTTCCAGGGTGTATACATTACCTCTGCAGTTGATACAATTTCTTGGCCATGCAGAGCTATGACTGACTGACTCTTTAAGGGCATTGATTTCCAGACCCTCTTTCCTAAACTTGATGTATCTGAGTAAACTGTGGTTAGCTGCTTCTCCTTTCTCTCCTCCCCTTTCATGATGGTACTTCCCCCAGTCTACAGAAGGAAGGCAAACCTCTCACTCATCCTATTTTCTTATGGTACACGGCTTTGAGTGTGCAAAACTCCAGGCACCAAACCTGGGTGTGATCTAGAATTTCCACTTCTGAGGAAGAGTCTATGAGAACAACAAAGAGAAAATTCAGCAAGAAATACTGAAGTGTCAAACTTTATTTGATCAGGCAAAAAGTCACACTAAAGTTCTATGTGTCTATCTGTCTATTTATCTATCTACCTACCTACTACCTATCAACCTACCTATCATCTATCTATCTATCATCTATCTATCTACCTATCTATCATCCATCTATCTATCATCTGTCTATCTATCATCTATCTATCCATCTATCTATCTATCTGTCTTGGAAATAGAATTCAGATGTGATAAAACTGTTATGTGGATATCTATCATCATGTTTATTTGAAATAAAACATGAATTCAGACTATTTTCTGAAAGGACATAAGTTTGATTTGGTAAACATGGGAAGGAAGACTCCATGTCGATCTGTCTGTGCAGTGGACATTTTCCTTTAAGGAATGAGGTAAACCTGCAGCTCCAGCAGTTTGATGAAAATAGATTTAATCCTCATACACAGTACATGATACAACAAATATATATCCTTTGCAAATATTTAAAAGTATGTTAACCAGTTTTAGATATTTATATAAAAATATTTGAGTGGGCAATAGTTTTTCAAAATTAGTTTAGAGGCTATGCAACAAAAACGTGGAATGACTCTAGTCTAGAAGATAATACAATTTCTTTATAAACGACAGAGGCCATACAATAAATTATACGTTATTCTTCTGTGTGCATTAAAGTCAGTCATTTGTGCCTTTAACTTTGTTCACCTGGTTTTAAGCTTTGTAAAACCCCAAATGAAACTTTAATGCCACCTGTGCTAATTCAGAGAGGCTAACTGTATTAGCCAGAGTTCTCCAGAGAAGAAACAGAACCAGTAGGATATACCTATCTACATATACATATATGTATACATACACGTGTGTGTACATACATATACACACACAGAGACTGCTGTATTCAATCTACCAATTTAAATGCTAATCTCATCCAAAAAACACTCTCACAGAAACACCAACACAATGTTTGAGGAAATATCTGATTTTTCCACGGCCCAGTCAAGTTAACACATGAAATGAAGCATCATACTAACTACATTATACATTGATACATTTTTATCACCAAGCATCAGTAGAGGCACTGAATAAACATTAGGAGACTTGAGGTCTGGTTCCAGCTCTGTCATTTATCAGCCAGTGGACTTGGTTTCTTCATCTATAAAAAGAAGAAAATATTTGTCGTTTCTACTCTGTAGGGGCGTTACATAGAAGTTGGGGGTAAATCCAAAATTTCTTTGTAAAATTCTATTATAAAAATAATGACAGGGGGCCAGCTCTGTGGTCAAGTGGTTAAGTTCGCGAGCTCCACTTCAGCAGCCCAGGGTTTCGCTGGTTCGGATCCTGGGCATGGACATGGCACTGCTCATCAGGCCATGCTGAGGCAGCGTCCCACATGCCACAACTAGAAGGACCCACAACTAAAATATACAACTATGTACTGGAGGGATTTGGAAAGAAAAAGCAGGAAAAAAAGAAGATTGGCAACAATTGTTAGCTCAGGTGCCAATCTTTAAAAAAAAAATAATAATGACAGATTGGTCCTTCAAGACATATGCTAACAAGTTCACAATCTGCATGTTAATGCCATGTACACAGGATAGTTTTGTTGTGTTTTTAGACCAAGAAACATTCCTCGCTGCAAGTCAGTCACTGATTTCTGTTTTTACATATTGCTGGTAATTAGCTTGCTTTGATGGCTCTTATTTTCTCTTTCTTTTACAGGATGAAGAATATTTATTTCCATAGGAACTAATTTTTCACTCAATGACTATAGATTGATACTCCTAAACTTCTTAGTTTAGAGGAAGGAGGTTGTTCTTGGATGCAATTTGGATAGTAGATGGTTCTGGAGCCTCAAATCCTCAGGAGGTTCCATCAACACAGGACCGCATTGAATCTAGCACCTATTTTTCATGTAATTTCTCCAATAAGTTTAGTTTCTTTCAGAATAGTGGGCATGAGGGCCAAGAGTTGAGCAATTGCTAATGGTGCTGATTTATACAAAAAGGCAGCAAAGGATAGTCACTCCTGTAACCACCAGGTCACGTATTACCCTCTGCACGATTTGGAGCAGCATCAAGTTTTTTCCCCTCTTCCATAATTAAAAATAGAGTGGGTAACATTTCCTATATAATATTTGTTTTCTGGTTTGTGCCTTGTGTTATTTTTACCTTTAATTCAAAAAAATCTTTGTTCTTGAGAGTTCATTCATTCTGTGTGGCTTTAATGAGCTCTGTGTTAATGTCACAGTCAAAACACCATGCACTGCTTTGAACAGTGAGGGGTAAAGGTGGAAAATAATTAGTATCTATTTTCAGTCTTGAAGTCTATCAGTGTCAATAGGAAGAGAGGGGACCAGAAAGAGAGTAATGAGGAAAAGACTTGGCCCAGCAGGACGCAGACTTAATTAATTTACCCGAAGTTAATTTGAAAAAAGTGAAAAAATGGACTCAAGAATAAAAGAGCATCCTCACAGTCGTGTGTATATATTTTAATCACTAAGATTATTTTATCAGAAGTTTTGTTTAACCCTTTAAAACATCAGCCTAGTTTATTTTAATGGAGATACTGTATAAACTCAAAACCAAAAAGAAAGGTATGTAATCATTTACTCATATTTCATTCATTCATTCATTCACTTAATCAAATACTAGACATTGATGTTGAAAGATGAAATTAGAACAAGAAGGAAGAGAAAGACTCGTGGATAAACATTCCTGCAGCAATAACATCAGCTTCCTCCCTCTTGTTTTGCTAAGAAGCCTACATGTGACTTTCAGCCAAGTATATTTTTTATATTTTTTAATTAGCCATCTTTGTGACTCCTTAAAATAATAGTATTTTCAGTTAGGACTATAGACTAGTAGTTAGATTCAAAGTCCTGAGTATGTTTCAAATATCCCTGAGCAATCAGGACAAGTATAAAGTGTGCTCTCCTGATTCCAAAGAGGAGAAAAAATAATTTAAACAGTATATGAACATTACACAGAAATGTGTTGTTGTATTTGTAGATTTTTCTAAATAACGACCCTCTGAATGGATCACAACTCAAGTCAGCGTCAAAGTGAGGAGGTAAAGTAATTTATCATAATGGCTTAGTGGTCGAGCCCCTATGAAATCCAGAAACTCCTCAAGATGTGTTTTCACCTTGATTTCTGACCCTGAAGACTCATCCCAGCCCCTCCTTGTGTGTAGACCTCTTAAGGAAGAATATGCTGGCACAGCATGCAGACTAAGCGATGTAAAAATGTGCAGTAAACCAGCCCACACCCCATTGTGCCATCGCGTAATGGGCGGCTATGATGGTATAAATGCAGCTGAACCAAATGGCGGGAGACAGGTGATCACAGTGACTCCTCTTCAGCTGCCCTGGGTCCTGCGCTTCTGGGCCACCTTTGTATTCGGTTGCGTGGGTGACTCACCCTGAGCACAGCCTAGCCTGTATAGGACTAGCCTGTGTAGAAGTGTGATGGCTTTTTAGTGTCCACTGAGCTAACAGGAGCTAACGAACAGCATTTGCTTCGTGAATCTTTATCTGTTAAACAAAACATTGTTGATTCAACATAAATGTTTGGCACCACGGATGTGTATGGTTGGGTAGTTTGTGTACATTTTTGCCCCTGAAAACAAATTTCTGCTTGTCTATAGGATTAGAATGTAAGGATAGACTGTGTGAAAACAGAGTGTCCTACACATGATTCTGACGTTCAGGCTAGATGTGCCCTTATGTGCAGCACCCACTTTTGGAAGCTACCCCTCCGTGCCCCTTACCTTGTGGTCCCAACTCCAGTTGTCCAGGGATGCACTTACCTTTATATGGAGCATCACTTCCTGTCCTCTGCTTATAGTGGGTCCTAATGGGTTCCCTTTAGGGTATTCTAGTGGATGAAATTATAAGATTTTGAATCAAAGAGGCCAGGGTTTGAATCTTAACTTTCACACACTAACTCTTTGACCGTTGATAAATCACATGGGCTTTCCAAGTTTTAGTTTCTTCAACTGCAAAATGGTGACAATACTAGACACTTCTAATGTTATTTTGCACGTCAAAAGGAAAAATGGAATTAAGAATTTCATCCTGATGACAGATTCATAATTGATGTTCAAACAGTAACTATATTTAATACTACCTCGTTAATCATTCCTTTACTTATTAATTACCCCATTAATTATGTATTAATTAATATTACTTCCTAATATTAGGAATATGAAGAAGGAAGAACTCAGACGGGACACTTGAAATTATTGCTCATTTTGATGAGAGCACTGCTTTTCAATCCTTCTAGCTATTTACCAATAAAAATTTTAAAAGAAACTGTTGGGCATCCTGATGTATAATGTAGTGATATAGGATGATATAATTTCTCCTGTCAGGGGCCAGAAGTCAGCAGCTGGGAATGGGAATGAGTGTCTCACTTCTGAGGGGATGTGGCTGGCCCTGATGGTGCAATGCTCACTGCCACTGGTTATGGAAGCCCATGCTTGTCAGTCTCATCAGAATGAGGGAGCATTACAGCCATGTTCCTCAACACTGTTTTCATTATCATCCCCTTAAAAAGACATTTCAGATACTTTTTTCTCTAATCGTCCCTCATCTCCTTACATATGCAGATATTTGTCCATGTTCTATGTACATCTGTCTATCTATCTATCTATCTATCTATCATCTATCATCTATCAGTGCCTGATACATAAAAGGAGTGGTTTTGCTTCCCACCGGTTTTCATCCCCTCAGAAGTGATATCACCCAGGTTGGCATGGTCAGCCTTTCTCCAAGACAAAGTACCTTTGTTTGACCTGTGGCTGGAGGGAGAGCGAGGCCACTGATGAGTGCAGAGATCTCTATGTTGGGAGTCCCTTAACAGTTTAGGGACAAGTTGGGCATTCCCAGGGTTCGCAGGAGGGAAAGATATAAACAGCAAGCACATTGCCTGGCCCGTCTATTGTGCCTGAGAAGGATGGTGCCTTGTAATTAGACAACTTTCCAAAAATGTTTAAAAATAAACGTTAAGGTTTGGAGTAGGATATCGACATTATCAGACCAGTGCACGGAGGAGCTTCATCCGTGGCAGAGAGCTCTTTGGATTTACATCTGGTAGGCCTGGAGAGTAAAGATTGCTGAAGGGGCTCTGGTAATAATGTATGTGTGAAAGATAATAATAATCTAACCACAGCAGTGGCGGTGAAATGGAGGGAAAGAGAGAATTACCAAAACTGCATAAAGTAGACTGGAGATGGGCCAAAAGATGATTCAGTGTTTGGAACCTGGATGTGAGTACCTGAGAAAAGTGTGTGGCATCTCCATACTAAGGAATGTCAGAAGGAATACCTGGTTTAATCAAGAGGAGAATAAATTTTAGCTGTTGTCTATTGATAGACTTATTCATTTGAGCTTAGTCACTTAATATATTTACATGTATTTGTGTATGTTTGTCTCCTATCTGGGCCATATTTTTCACTCAAAATAGACACATCTAAATTACATCTTAACCAATGAGGTTTAAAAGATTAGCAATAACATTAGCTATTTGTCTACAATAATTTATCCTATTCAGTTGCCATTTGAAACATGATGTTTTAGCATACATTTTCATTATAGAGGGAATCTGCAAGATTTTGGTGGAGTTGTATTTATAGAATCATCCTAATGATTAATGCTAATTAGACTTGTGATTATCACCCTGTTATTGGAGCTCTTAACAAACAAGATTTCTCTTAAAGAAATGCTTTGTTTGTCTATAGTGATGTCTCTGGGCGGAAGCTGCCAGGATCGCTAAGAGTCTGTCTTTGAACTCAGAATGTTTTCTTCTACATACTGATAATAACCTCAGGTATCTCAGTGGGATGAAGAAAATTCTGTCCCACCACTATGTGTTCAATGAAAATTACGTCTTATGAGAATCAGCTATAGAGGCTAGAAAGAAAAATTCCAAAGCAAAAGATGAGCATCATGGACACAATAGATGCAAAGGAAGTCCAGTTCTGGAGGCGGGTCCTCACTCTCGCAGAGCTTTGTGTGCTCTCGGTCTCTTCTGTTATCACTAAGGGTCCTGAACAACAGAGATGTTACAGAGCTGCTGCTGGTTCCTTACGCTGGGTTTCTTTGCCAAGATCATAATTTTTCTTCATTGTGCGTCTATCCAATTGCACTTATTCAAGTGAAAATCTGGATTCAGTTTCATGGAGCTTTAGTACAGGGAGGTAAGCTCCTTAGGGGAGGATGTAGCAATTCAAAGACAGCTATTGCCAGAGCCAGAGCTGAAAAAATCTGACAGATGATGCATAGATTAAAACAGAAAAATAACACGCACATTTAATTCAGCAAACATATCTGCTAGGGGTTCATTCATTAATAATACAGACTCAAAATCCATTACGGTGTCACAAATCCGTGTGAGTATTTTGGGTTCCCAGTTGCTAATCTAACTGAAGGATGTTGGCATGAGCATTGATTGCATTTTCAAGATGGCTTTTTGTGTCACGCATTTCAGCAGGCACACACCAGACGCCTCTGGTTTTGCTCATAGAATGTAATTCCACTGTGTTCATTCCGGCAGGGATATTCACATATTAGGTGGAAAGAACTTAATTAGAACTGAAGGGACAAAGGAAACCAGGACTCCTTCTTCTTAGCCCCCAACTTTCTCTGGGAACCCAAAATCGCCCAACTGCTGAAGTTTGTGAAGAGATTTCTATGTGCAGGATAATTAAATATACAAATAAGTCTTAGAATGAGCTTGAGAAGATAATATCCTATGATATCAAACCCCTAGGCGAAATCACCAAATCTCAGACAAAATTTCTATGATTTTTATTTCTATTCAGATAGAAGCCTTACATAAAATTTGTAAATATTTTTCTCTGTTTCTTTATGTATCGGGTCAAAGGAAAAAGCAAGCACTTTTTTTTCTCAATGAAGCTTCCACATATAAATATTAACAATTGAAAGCGACATAGACATTCCACGATAGCAAAGGCTATTGCTCCTAGGAAGAGGAATATGACATAGTTGTATATTACAAAATGCTTAGCATTCTGTTCTAAAATTATTATTGCAATTCTGCCAGTATAATTCAATTAGATAAATTTTATTTCAATTCAACTTAATTTTATTTTGGAGAGAGGCATAAATTTTATGCTTAAGTCTAGAGTGCCTAACACAGAGCTTTGCACACGGCAGTAGAAGAGTCAAAATTGAATGAAATTGAAAGCCCTATATCAAGCGGAATAATGGTTAAGATGAAAGCATAAAACATGATTCTTGCCTTTGTTGGTTCTTGAACTCGAGAGCTTCTCAAGTGAAATCCAGAACTGGTCTGCATACACAGAGGGCAAGGAGAGACCAAAGAAAGAAGCAGTCCCCTCCAGATTGGTAGGTGGCAGTTTTAATAATCAAGGGAACTTGCACACGAGGCTTGTTTTGGGCAGCCTCAAGATGATGAGTAGATCTTAGCACCCACCCACCAGAATCTTGAAAATTTATGTAGAAGCCTCAATGGGGGTTCAGTTACATATGCCACTCAGATAGTCTCAATAATGCATTGCTCTCTCAAGGCTGTGTCCTTGAAAATGGATCCAACTGTGGGAACTGTGGGAAGAATGTACATTCCAAAGACAGAAGAGGAGAGGAGGAACCTCCAATTGCCCAGGTCCACCTCTTGGGTCAACTATTGGTCACATCTTCTCCATGACCTTCTCCAACAATCTTCAAGGAATTCATAGCCTTAAAGTAGAATGCATCCATTCATGTCCCCTAGAGGGGTCTTACTCATCAGCATGAGATTCAAGTCCTACATCCTCCAGTCACTTAGAGTAGACATTGGTAATCTTGGGCCCATGGGCCAGATCTTGTCCAAGGTCTGTTATCTTGTAGCTTATGAGCTAGGAAAGATTTTTACATTTTTAAAGAGTTGTTAAAAAAACAAAAGACTATGCAACAGAGATCCATGTGGCCCACAAAGCTGAACATACTTACTGTCTTAACTTTTACGGTAAAAATTTCCTGACCCCTGACTGAGAGGATTAGATTTCCTGCTTTATCACTTCTTCTGACCTCACCCTTTTCCCACAGAGCATGTGCTAATTAAATTCTTGCCTTTGTGGTAATTCCAAAGCAAAATCAACAATCCTAACATTGTCAGTCATTGAGTGAAATATTTCTTTCAAAAAGGAATGGCATATTCATATTATTAGTTAGAGGAATGCTAATAACATAATTGGAATAACTCAATTGGAATGAATCCTCAATTTTGGTAGGTTAACACAACAGAAGTGTATTTTCTTCCCTCACATAGCAGCCAGTGGATGTGTTTCTGGTTGACCATTTGGTGGTACAGGGACCCGGGTTTCTATCTTTGAAGTAGCCATCCATAGGGTCTCTGTGTCCTCAACTTCCAGTTGAAAGAAAGGGAAAGAGAGAGTAGAAAAGGCAAAGTCATTTCTTAAACACTCCTATCCAAAAGTGACACACTTCCCTTCCTCCCACATAGTATTGACAAGAACTAGTCACTTGACCACATTTGACTGTGATAGGGCTAGTAAATAGAGTCCTTGGGTGGACCACTAGAGGGAGCTCTTCAGTACAGATGGGAGCTCATGAACATCAGGTGGGCATCTAGAGGTCTTGACTGTCTGCATTGGTAAACAAAAAGCCAGACTTTGGAGTGAAGATACTGGATTGAAAACATACGTGCTTTCACCCCGTCCCAGCACTCCATTGAAACCTTCAATTAAGACATTAAAAACAATAATACAGTCATGCTCCACGTAACGACGTTTCCATCAGTGATGGACTGCGTATACAATGGTGGTCCCATAAGATTAGTACCACATAGCCTAGATGCATAGTAAGCTGTACCATCTAGGTTTGTGTAAGTAT